TCAGTCTGACCATATTCTCGGTTAACAGCACCATACTGCCGGTCAGTCTGACCATATTCTCGGTTAACAGCACCATACTGCCGATCAGTCTGACCCTATTCTCGGTTAACAGCACCTTACTGCCGGTCAGTGTGATCACGCTCCGTAGTGTAACCGGTATCTGCTTAGCTTTTCATAAGGTTTAATGAGTTCTACATTGCACACTCACTAGGTAATAGTATACAATGGTGATGATTAGGCTTAGTATTGTTAAGATGGGACACTTTCTGAAAAATTTCTCTCTGTAAAAATTTACAGAATTATCTCAGTGTCTTTAATCCCCAATTGATACCATTCTAAATTTATTAATGGCCCTTGAACACTTTATAGAACAGAAATTAATGTGTTACTAAGCACATATATTAACTGAAAATTAATTTTGCCAGGTTTCCCATTTTAGCAGTACTCCCCCTAAGTGAATTAACTTAATCATAACAACGGAGTTGTGAATGAACTGTTGATGGACTGTGAGCATACACAGTAATAATAATAAAATGGCAATCTAATCTCTAATGATTTTAAAGATCATATGAAGAACTGAGTTGAAACGTAAAGCATAGATCAACCACCTCTAATCTTTTTTTTAACAATACGTAAATCTGGAAGCACCTAGTAGGCAGTTAGTTAATTTTTGCCCTGGAACATCATATTTCGGTCTGTTTGGGCCCGGGTAGGTCCTTTAAGAGAGAGGGCTGCTCCCGGGTTAGTCGCTAGGATGTGAAATGAGTAGAAAGGTCAGCTTTGTTAAATTACACTGAGTGGGAGATTAAAGCGTAGGAATGGATGTAAAATGCAGTCTGCACCATTTATTTTTTATTTTTTTAATAACGTTTCGAATGATTGATTATTTGAGTATTGACAATGCAGTTTATAAAAGCGTTAGAAGGCTGGGTCTCTCTTAGAGACATTGTTCAGGCATTATATTTTTATCCTGAGTTTACCACCAGCCAAAAATCATTATGATTCATGACCAGTACGGGCTTGCAGTGAAATTCCCTGCATTTAACTCCTGTGCATTTTCTGCCTACACGTGTCTGATCTGGCAACTGCTGAGCTTCTCCTAGAAAGAGCAGATTCACGGGGGGGTGAAAAGACACAAAGACAAGGGCTTCTGGTTAATTATGTATGTGTGTGTGCGTGGGGGGGGGTAAAGTGGAGGACTTTGGGTTAATTAGATGTATGGATGGAGAGAAGGGGAGATGGTGAAGGAATGCAGGTTCATTAGACGCGTGGAGGGGGAGGTATACGGGGTATGTGAGTGTTGGCGCTGAGTCGGCCAGGTATTTTGCCATGGGTTTGGGGCTGTCATCTCTCTCCATCGGAATGGGAGGAGGGTGTGATGACAAAACATGACCTTTTTAGTGAGTGAGGGTAACTGAGGTCGCAGGCTGTTTTTGTACGTGTGGGAGGGGATGTGCTGTGTTCGCTGATATTTTCAGGCCGTATTCCCGGGGGGGGGACTGTTCCGGGCACTGTAGCCATGTCAGAAACGCGGGGCGGGGTGTGGCGCAGCAGAGCGGGAGGACGGAGTCCCCCACTTGAGAGTGAAGTGCTAAACACGTGTGGGAACAAGCAGGATTGAAATGTGGCTGGTCAGTCACCCAGTAAAATGTTGCACTGTCCTATACATACACTGACATATAGGATATTTTGCCCTGTAGTTGGCTGGTGAACTTCAGTGTCCTTGGAACAGACCAGCAGTTCATTATTGTTTTAAAAGAACCAAAATATATAATAACCGTAAGAGTTTTTTTATACCTCATTTTATAAGTCTGATTGGTTAATGTATATACTGTGTGAGCTTTGGAGAGGGTCTGTAGCAGATTGGTGATGTAGGGAATATGGATATCATATTTTACAACAGCCCTTCACAAGTGAGTAAAACTTAATTTTTTTCATTTGGTCCTTTTGTGAGAGGAAACATTCATGTTTTTTATACTGAAAATGTGGGCATGGCCATTACCTCTGGTTTGACAAACAGGAGCGAGTGACATGTAGCGCTTAATCTTGTTGCCGCAGTCCTTGACTTTTTTAATATAAAGAGTCCTCATTTGTTAGTTAATATTTAATGCAATTGCAGGAAGGGAATGAGAGTTGGAGTTTCACTTGAGGCAAAAACACGTTTGTGAAAAGTAGACAGTTACAAGCAAGCACTGGATATTGTTATAACTTTCGACCAAGAATCATGCCATGAAAATTACATTTACATTCGCATGTATTTTTTGGAAGATGCTTTTGTCCAAAGTGACATACAAATGTGCCAGATTATACATTACAACAGGGGTGGGGCACCTGATCCATGGGTTGCCAGTGCTGGTTTTTGGGATGGCCTCTCAATTAGCCAATAATAAAGCAGTGGTTCTCAACTCCAGTCCTGGGGACCCGCTGTGATTGGCTGATGGAGAGGTCATCCCAAAAACCCGCACCGGCTCTCCATGGATCAGGTTCCCCACCCCTGCATTACAAGCATTCAGCTCTCAAGGAGCCAACTTAGCTACATGGTTAATGTACCTGAGGTAAATGGTTCAGAGAGTGTCAAGGTTTCCACAGAAAAGTCCGCATTACCTGATATGTTATTCATGTGTATGCATTAGGTCCTACAGCTGCTCTCTCCATCCATGAATCTTCTCACTGCTTATCCTGGTCAGTGTCACAGGGATAGCTCATTATTTTCCATTTAGCAGGGTGTTAAAGCTGCTCACAGAACAATAGCCCAAAGGTACAGAAAGTAAGTTCATTTTGCTGGATATTTGACCTGGATTCCATTTGTGTGACACTGCTGGGCTTCTTCCTTGGACGAGAGCGCATATGCATACAGGCATATGAGGATACGGGGGTGTGGGTGTTATGGTCAGCAGGGTCCCACTCCTCTTTCTTCTGTTTTTTTTTTTTGGCACTTCGCTTGACTCATGTATGAACACACGGGTGACTCGTACCTCGGCATGTGCTCCCGTGCGAGGGCTCTGCGGGTGTTACTGACCGCGTGCGTCTCCCGTGTCACGCTCCTGCGCTAAAGCCCTGTCGTTTTCCGCTGCTGCCTTTGTCCGCGGTGGTCGGGCCTGAATATACGAGGAAAAATGACGACGACAACAAAGGCTACATTGTTCATGGATGAAAGCCTAGAGTGAGTCCATGGCCTGGGCCGAGGGTGTGTTCTTCCAGTTAAAGGAAGCATGGTCCATTACATCGGACTGGGCATTGCTCAATTATGTCCAGTAATACAGTTCAGGAATTGCTATCCATATTTGTATAACAGTATTTTTGGCATGAATGTTTTTGACTGGGGTATTCTGTCATCATTGCGAAAGTGTGATCAGTGGGTGTAATTACAGTAAGATTGCTCTGAATTTTGGGGAGGCAGGGAGATGCTTTATAAAACGCAGAGGTGTGTCTGACATGTGCCCTTCCCTTACCTGCTAGCAGGAAAACAATCCAGAGAAATGCAAAAGTGAGCAATAACAGTCCTAGTTTGACTTGTTCTCTTACAAAACCGTCCGTGATCCATCTCACCCCGGAATGATGAATGTATGTAGGCGGGTACCAGCCTTAAGATCTGTTTAAATGTTAGATGAGTGTTTCATAGCACTGGGGCTTTATCCCTAGGCTGTGTTGCTGTCTTGGCATGACACAGCACCTTTAACAGTTAGCTGAGGAACTCTTTGTTTTTTTTGTGCCCTACCTGTTGGACTTGCATCCTAATTTCCGAGCTACAGGCTTGGCTTAGTTCTGTATGTATGCAGTCAGTTTTTAACCTCGTGTACATGTGCACTATGGTCTGCCTTTTGTGTATAGATAGTGTCACCCTAGACCTGTTAATGTTGTTTCTGCTGGGGACGGTGTGCCTAGTTTCATATAGGTAACGGAAACCAATGCTAGTGTAACTGTGTTTGACTAGAAGTGCAAAAGTCTTAACCCCCAGCAGGGAAGCCATCTGAGGATGGACGGTGAAACATGGCCAGTTTCTGATAAGACCCGGAGATTGGAGATCATAGGTCTGGTGGGTTCCATGAGGCTTTGCAGCATGTGGAAGAGAGGGGGCGCTGTGAGGTGCAGGAGCCGTTAACATGGTTCGATTCTTGGCAGAGATAAGAAGCTGGTTCCTCCCATTCTGCAGTAGGGTAGCTCTTAGCTGCAGTTGTTTTATGTTACAGATGCTTTTATCCAAAGCCACATACAACTGAAAGCAGGGTCGCACAGTCCCTGGAGCAACTGGGGTTTAAGAGCTTTGCTCAGGTGTCCCAACGGTGAAATTACTCTGCCGACTCTGGGGTTTATGCCAGGGACCTTCCGATCACAGGCGCAGGATCCCAATGCAGAGCCACACACTGCACCCTTAGGTTCAGACAAAGTCTGGTAGCTTGAAGGCTGCCGGATGGGGTCTCAGGACGTTCCCCTTAATGTAGGTGGGAGTACAACCTGAGGTAGAATGTGTCATAGGAACATGCAGATCTGCAAATTGTGCTGGATTCAAGTGTCTGGTAAGCATTAAGAATACCCCACACCCGCATATTGATTGGGCTTTGTTATCTATTACTGTTACCCATCTATCCATCCGTAACCTCTTATCAAGATCGAGGCTGCGGTGAGCCCAGATACAAGGCGGAAGACATAATTTTCACTTCTCTTTGTATGGTACAAAAATAACTTATTAGCTGCTCCCAAAAACTGCAGGTACAGGAAACACAAAAATGCCAGGTGACCAGGTAGTTTGAAAATGAATTTCTTCCTGTAGCCAATTAGCTCACCCGCTGGTGAAGAGTAGCATGCAGGGCTTAGCTCGTGCATGAATGATATGGTCTGGAATGCTTCACTTTGCTCAATGGACTGCAGTTCAATAGACATGTGTCTGCATGTTTCCACTGCGGTGAGCATCTTCCCCCCCCCACCCTGCTGTTGGAATGCCAGTTCTGTGGGCGTCCATGCTTAGGGGCTCCGCAGCAGATACCTGGCTGACTGTAGACAAAGCCAGATTCTGCTCTCAGGTCAAGTCATAAACGGTCATAGATAAATGAGGGAGTGGCTTTCAGGTGGGTCTCTCTGTAGTCTTGTGGGTGACACCCTTTGGTTTTGTTTGAGCATTTGTTACGCAAGGCAATTCCGGTGTCATCTCACGTTTTAAAGGTTGAGTGATGTCACAGCAGCACGGGGCAAGAGGCACCTTTGCCGGACGTGGCTGTAATCTGTCACTATGGAAAAAAAAAAACACAGCTATTCTGATAACAGTTGTGAAGGTCTGGTTGGCTAACGAGTCCCTGTTTGAGAACTTGGACAGAAGCTTTATAGAGCTCATGTTTTTGTTTGGGTTTTTTGCAGAATCTCTGGAGTTGCTTGTCCAGCCTTCTTTGATGCCAAGTTGCATGAGATTTTGGAATAAAATGCCAAAGTGCTTTTGTTACATTTCTGTTGGGGAAAAAAATTTGCATCTTTGGCCATGTTTAGATGGTGTTTTAGGTCTACAGGTAGCACACACACACACACACACTGCAGGTGACCTGTCTCTGTGTTTACCTGCTGTTCTCCCCCTTCTCCACCCCACAAGTGCTGCCGGGCGAGCGATGCTGACCACGCCGGCCCTCTGGCAATAATCGGCTGTGACATGGCAGACCGGGACGACAAGGCGGAGATGTCCATTGCCCCGGGCCAGCCGTACATCGAGGTGGAGTATGAGTATGAGTACAAGGCCAAGGACCGCGTCGTCACCATAAAGCCTAAGGAATGCTACATGCTGGTGAAGAAGACCAATGTGGACTGGTGGCAGGTTAAGAAAGACGAGGGTTCCAAGCCGTTCTACGTACCTGCCCAGTATGTGCGGGAGGTGCGCAAGGCCCTGATGCCACCACCCAAGGCCCTTCCTCAGGGTGGCCCCATCAGGCCACGGCCCGCCACTCCGGACCTCAGCAAGCCCAACGACAACCTCAACAAACCAACGGCTCACCTGACCCCGCCGACGGTGGTCAAAGACATCAACCAGAACCCGGCCAGCTCTGGGCATGGCAAAGGTTCGCCAGACCCCCTCCACCATGGCAGCAGCATCAACAGCAATGGTGGCTCATTGCCGCGACAAAGGGCCAAGTCCCCCTCATCTGACAGGAAAGTCCCCCTGGACATCTTGGTGGATGTGACGGCTCCCACAGTGGACTCGGACAAGCACTACCACGACCTGGAGTCAGGAGATGAGCTGAGTAGCAGTCCTACGGATCCCATGCAGGTATGGAGGCTGGTGTATGGGTGTAGCTGTAGTGTAGCCGTTGGGTGAGAACGTCCACATGGGTAGAATTATGGTTTACTAGTAGTACTGTTCAGGAAGTTCTCAGATGTAGGTTACAGCAACATGCACCAGTCGTAGATTTGAGTAGTCATGAATCTGGTACTCTTGATTTCTTTCTGAGCTTGAACTATCAGCATAAGCATAAGAAATTGCAACCTGCCGGTCTTTATTACCATGTCTTTCTCACAACTTGCAATGTGATCCACTTCATCTTAACGATGAATGTGTCTGTGCACATTGCCTGGCTGTGTCGACCATTGGGTTTCTTGGGTGAATTTCTGGAATAACCAAGAGGCATTGTTTTGTCCCTTCCCCCTACTGCTGTTGTCACAGCTCATTTAGGCCAAATACCCCCACTCTCTGCTCATTAACGGTCTGAGTTCTCTCTATGGGAACAAAAGGGGCTTGAAGGTCAACGTAACTAATGATCAGCCTGCTGACTGCGGGCTGGGGCTGGGATTGGACCATGGAGAAGGACCCTTCAGTCTAAGCCAGCTGTTCACCTCAAGCAGACTATTGCTGCATTGCTGCCTCTGGGTGGGGTCCTTCCTGCCATTGTTCCCATAAGTCTGTCTATGCCAGTGCCTGCAAAGCTTACAGGACAGTGCAGAGTATGGAGGAATATAGCTTTTAGATGATGCAGCTGTAGATGAGTTTATCACGGTACTCGGCGCGGTCGGTGATGTTCTCTTTGTTGACTTTCAAAATGCAGAAGGTGTTTAGGACGCTTATGTCATGCTGAAAGTAGTGAATAACAAATGGAGTGATGTTTGTGAAAAGGAGAATAGGACGCCTACAGTATGTCATGCTGAAAGTAGTGAATAACAAATGGAGTGACGTTTGTGAAAAGGAGGACCTGATGCAAGGGCTCTGTAGCACAGCGTCACAGGGTTCTTTGCTGAATTTTAATTGGGATGCCAGAGCCTGAGAGTCACAATGGAGAGCCAGACGGGCTAGGAGCTTGTATCCGTGTAGGATTTGGGTTGGCGTTCTTGATATATGTGTGGTGGAAGGACAATCTATATTCCGGCATGTTCTTAGAATTTGGTATCCCATGGAAGGTGGTTGAGTTACCGCAGAGGCAGCTGCTGCAGATTCCTAATGGGAGCTTCTCAACCTTCAGTATGGTCAGTGTTGGTGTGTTTCTGGTGTTCTTGCTTTCTTAGAGTGTCTCTGAAGGGGTCCAAGCTCTGTACGTTGAATGTGTGAGAGGTACGTGTCGGTAGGATCATCAGAGCAACCAGTGACAGAAACTCCCACAGTTTCTGTTTATTTTTCAACTGCTATCAGGTGAGCAGATCAGGTGCCAGGCATCGCTTCTTGTTTCCTGTAGGGCTCAATGACACACCATCTTAGGTCATTGATTTGATTGATTGGCGGGCAGTGTGAGCATCTATTTATAGATTTGTGAAAGCAGGCTCCCCCCTTTGCCTTTGTCAAAAGTGACTACCTACTTCTGTGAAGTTGTGGATTTCACTTCCGGAATTTTTCACTGACCCTTCTTGCTATTTGTGTGCAGAAATCTCTCCCGTTGTGAAATGGTAGCCCCCAGTCACAGGATGTACCTGTAAGGGTTTTCTAATTGGGGTGATGTTGTGCTGCCCCTCCGTGTTGGTTCCTGACTGCCCCTGCTTTGCCCTCTGCGTGATTGGAACCAAACAGATCATTTGATGATTTTACGATGGCATTAGCCACAGATTGACAGTCCTCTGTTGCACATTGAGGGCCAAAATATTGGGTCCCCGCCTGAGGTGCACAAGGTGCTAATGTTTGGATTTGAAAGGTGCCAACTTTATCCTAAGAAAGGAGCTTCCTCTCCTTCCAGAGAAGTTCTAGTCTCTCCAGGTGGAGAATTTCTGCTTGGGTGGTGAGGACGCTTCTGTAAGTCAACAGAAGAAATCTTTGTAGATGCCTTGAAGCATTTCGCAAGTAAGACGGGCTCCACTTGGAGACAGGGGAGCTATTAAATGCAGAATGGGGCAAAGTAGGCGGAGTCATCTAGCTTCCTGGTCTCAGTGCCCTTGCTCTGATCCTTTGACTGTGGACACACATCCTCGTGGGTCTCAGCTGGTGTTAAAATCGAAAGGGAGCAGCATAGATATTGAGTCGGCGGCTGGGAGTCGCTACCCTGAGCCGCCTCAGATGACAGCTACACTAAAGTCCCACCTCTGTTTGTACTCTTGAGCAACAGACCAAAGGTCGGGTTTGCTGGGCGGCCCCAGTCCACTGATGAGGTGTGGTTGCCACACCCTCAGTGCAGCGGTGCATTCTGGCGGCACTGGGATACCGTTTGGTTAGTGCCACTGTCGCATTGCCATGGTGTACCCACCCCTGCGGCTGAGACAGGTTTCCCTTGGCTGCCGATTTAGGGATTATCTGGTTACGGTGTGGCTTCCCTGGCCCTCTCTAAATCTCTGCTTCATGCCTCGGTGCTTGGCCACAATGTCCCCTGCCACAGCCCGAGGGTCAGCCCGCTTCTCCTTTTTTTCGGAAAACGTCGACCTTTTGCCGCTGCACACCAGGGGTTTTTCGCCGAAGCTCCCGGCCGCCGACGTGCGTCTTTGTTCTGGTTTTCTTTTTGCGTGTATAAGCATGTGGAAGGGAAAGGGAAGGGCACGGCGCATTCATGGCCGCGTGGCGGGTTTTGAGGAAACAGGATGCTTTGCTGTGTTTTTTTGCTGCTGTCTGACTCGCTCCTGATATCAGGTTTAAAGTTCCTGTTGGCTCCTCTGGTGAGCGGAGACCTTCGCGTAGAGTCCCTCCCCACATGTGGTGTGTGTGTGGGGGGGGTATATTCCTTTGAAGCGGGGGAGTGTATGTGGGGGTTTCCAAACCATTCGGGTCACCACAGAGCATTTTAACGGTCAACGAAACACGGAAGGTCCTTGAGTTTCGCGGGGCCGGCGCCCGGCTTATCCGAGTAGAGTGGCGCTTTGCTCGCTGCTGACGGAGGCTTGTTTTATTATGTCTGCGGGCGGTGTGTGGGGTGATGGCTGGCAGGGGCTCCTGGAGGCCACCTGGAGCGGCAGGCGGGCCCCAGCTGTCGAACGCGTGTGAAGACGTTTGGGAACGTGGCAGCTCTGTTTAAATACCTCCCATGGTGCTTTGCTCTGATTTCCCCATCTCTCCTGTCACTGGTGATTTGCAGGAGCCGAAGCTCATGCTGGCATAATGGACTGCTGACGGTTTAATAGGTAGCGGTTCCTGCAGTAGGAGATTTGGGGTTTCTCCCTCCCATATAGACTTTCCTCGCACAGTCTGGGTGAGTGGGGCTGAGAGGTCTCACGGGCCACTTCTCTAGGACTGTGTGAAGAGCCGAAAGGTAGTTACCTGAATCTTTTAGCTTACAACTTGATTCCAGCCAAATGCCATGTGTGTAAGTGGGCAGGTAGTTACTTTTGTGTGCCGCGGTCACGTTGCTACATTATGTCGTCGTCTGACCTTCCATGGAGATGAGTGAGAGAGAGAAGCAACATTTAGAGGGTGACTGACGAAGTGACGTGTGTGGAATGCGAAGTATCACTGGTGTTCATCAGGGGGATCGGTTACTCCATGCACCCCCAGAGGAGCTCGTAGAGCTCCGATGAGTAGCAGGGGAAGGCCGGGAACCTTCGTGATTTGATTCTTTGGCTAATAGTAAAGGGGAATAAAATGTCTAAAATGAGTTAATCAACTCAGACTTTGTTGAATAGTTTGTGTAATCAGCACGAACCATAGAACAGTGTGAATGTGAAATTTATAAAAACTAATTCAGCCAGTAAAGCCTGTCATATCTGTGTGAGATGTTTTATGTTAATTTATTGAGTTCATGCCCTTGCCCAAAAGCATCACATGCAAGAGCAATTATGTATCAGATTTGTTAGTAAAGCAAAGAGACTTGTAGGTGTAGATGTGGTTGGGCTGCATCTGAAGTGTTAGAGGTGTGATGTCGCAGTGGTGCTCTGACTTGCAGACAGCTGTGTTTATGGCATTGTGGTGTTACAGTAGCGGCACATCAGAGTAGGCTAAAGTGCAGCGTGAGGTTCCTCACGCCTTCCTCGTGGGCTTCGCGCTAATGCAGCTGCAAAGCTGGGGGGCTGCTGCTGTGGGCGGGGCCTGAGGCTGCTGCTGTGGGCGGGGCCTGTCGGTGGGGGCTGAGGGTAGGGAATGAATGGAGACCTCAGAAGTAGGGATGTCCCGATCCACTTTTTTGTACCCCCGTCTGATCCATTTAGCATTTCATACATGGCAATTCCAAAACTGATCCAATCTTTTAATAAAAATGTACATATAAATACAGTAATCGGTGCATTCTTTGTCCGAGGAAGCCTCACCATTCCGCAGCTGAGCTGCATTGCTGACCCCCCTGTCACTCCTAGCTTTGGACTTCCTGTTTTCTGGCTCACAGTGGTCAGACGGCCATCATGCCCCCGTCTCCACGCTATGTGTCTTTGCTCCGGCTACTCCCCTGTCACATGATCCGGCTACTCCCCTGTCACATGATCTCACCCCATTGCTGGTTCTGGATGGGAGTCTTTCATGGGCAGATGAATTTGAACAGGGGGGTAGCGGCTGTCCTGGTGCACCGCCACCCAGCACGTTACCTGCTCTCTCTGTCTGCTCTGGTCTTGGCCCTCTTTTATGACATCACACCGCCTCCCCCGTGGATTCTCCCTACGTGTAGCTCGGCTCTATCCCGCCTTTCTATCCCACACCAGCTGAATGTGGGAGTTTCTCTCAGTGCCCAGAGTGGTCCCCTCAAGTCACAGCACTACTCTGAGTGACCCATTTACCAACCCAAACTGGAGCTCTTTGGCAGCATTACTGAAGGACTGGCTAACGATAAAGAGAGAGCAGTGGCTAGCATGGCATAGTGTAGCATAGCATAACACAGCATTGCATAGCATAGCATAGCGTAGCATAGCATAACACAGCATTGCATAGCATAGCATAACACAGCA